CTGAAGGCGTTCACCAACGCCACACACCTGGGGTTGTCGTGAAACGCAGCTTTTAAGATGGACATAAGCCTTCGAGACCTTGCCTGTTGTGCTCCACTGAGAGCACTCCATCTGATAGGACCGGGCCAACGGCTACTATGCTGGATTTCTACAGAAAATTCTAAACTACCACCAGCTGCCCAGGATGACAACTCATCCAAATAGCCAGCCCAACCTAACACCTCTTCTTCTCTTGTCCTCCAAGTTCCTACTGGCGTTGGTGCCGATGTCAACCATTTTTCGCTTTTGGCGAAGACATCCAATTGCTGTGAATTTCCATGACTGTTTGATTGTTGAACACCAAAACCTGGCAAAACATCAAATGGCTGCGGAGTCACAAACGACGAATCAGCTGCCCTACCAAGACCATCACCAAACACTTCTGGAACCCCTCTTCTTTGTTGCATAGTTACAAAACGATCTTGCATATGCTGCTGCACTGTCTGCAGTTGCCCTTCATTCAGATTACCTAACATGGCCATGACCTCTTGGATCTGCCCCGCTTGAGGTGTCAAACCTCCCAAACTCGCTCCAACCGGGCCACTCGGCATGTCTCCTTGGTAATTCATCGGGTTCACTCCTAAGTTTGGAACACAACCAGACCTTGGTCCACCAGGCATACTCGCACAACCAAAACTCGGTACACGCGCTTGCGAATTCTGTTGCATAAACGTTTGTTGTTGGGGAATCCATTGCGCACCAAACCATGCTGGTCCCTGTCCTTGCATTACGGGCATGTTTCCTTGTTGACATCCCTGCACCGGATACCCTTGACCACTTGCATCCAGGTTTGTCGTGCTCGCAAATCCCTGTACATTCTGTGACACATTTGCTTGTTGTTGCTGTGGCTGCTGCTGGGGCATGGTACTTGTTTCAGGTGTTTGTCCATCCATCCCAGATCCACTACCTTGCTGACTAGGCGTTCCAGGCACTGGCGGCAATCCGTCACTACGGTTACAACCACCATTTCCGGTGCCAGGTGGCAATCCGTCCCCACGGTTACAACCACCACTTCCTTCACCTCTTTCAGCCATACCAGGACTAGGACAACCTTGCACACCTTGGCTCGCATTACCTGGATCCATTCCTACTACGCCTCTACGAGCTGCAAGCAGGCAGCTCCGCTACCATGCGGAAGGTAACCTCAACCTTCGAAACCTCTAGACCTACTTGGGTCAGCGTCCAGGACGTCGTCCTTAACAAACTAGACCGTCTACGCAACCAAGTCAACCACTCCCAGAGCTCAGCCACTTTTACCACAACACACAAGAGACAAGATGTTTGCTCATGTCGCTATGGTTCTTGTTGGTGTGTCACTCCTTGACACAAAACAGATGCGGAGTCGCAAGTTAGCATCTTTCTGCCAACTTCACAAAAGCGATCAAAAACACATGTCGTCACAAAAAGTCTTTACATCAAGACATGGTTTGTTTGTTTAAATAAGTTTGAGTGTTTGAAAACTGTTGAAACATTTCAAGCACCAAAACGTGTTCTGTGATGTCTCCCTCAGATCTGTTAGCAACTCCAGTTCTGAATGCCTTTCAGAACGTTGCTCTCGCTATCATCATTGAGAGACAAAACAACCTAAAGTTCTCCGATCAATGTCAAACAAAGTTCCTTCTTCCGAAGTCACAAAATGAATTCTACGATCTTCTCACGATTCATTCGTGCACTTCACCGGTGGAAACTAAAGCAAAAGATATGGAAAATGGTTTGATTTTCCATGTCACTATACAAATTCAAATCCTCACTGTGTTCTCCGTGCAATCAAAGTACTCAAAGAAGACGAAAAGTATATCGTTGTAGGGTTTCGTCATCTCCAATAAAACGTGCAAAACATGAAACGTGCAAATACAATGTCAACCATCACGGTTGAGCTCACCATCAAGGTGAAAAGCAAATTCACTTCTTCCAATGCAGAAAGACCAAATGGATTCATCTCACCACAGATGTCAGAAATTTTCACATAAAATCCGCCCACACCGCTTTGGCGGTGAAGGCGTGCTTATTGGGGGGCAACAGCAACACTAAATGCTCAATGACATTTGTTAATATAGCAGTCGCTATATCAGCTTTAGCTGGGGGGGGCCAAAAACGGTTTCGCACCGAGACCAGAATACGGTGGTGTTTTCGACATTTTTCGAGGATTTTTGGGTGTCCGAGCGCAAGAGGGTATTGAAATGGAATTTTGGGTCATTTTGGTAGCTTTCCGGCAATGGAAAAACGGCCAAAAATGAAAAAAAACATTGTACATAGCAAGATTTTGCAGGGTTTTTTGGATGCCAGAGCATTGAAAACACTGCAAAAACAAGTGTTTTGGACTGACGTTATAGCAAAAAACGTGTAAATTACCGTATGCTTGACTGGAAACATCACAAAAACACTGTCAAAAGCAATGTTTTGGAAGGATTTACTGCCTTTATGGCAAAAACCGTGTAAATTACCGTCTGTTTGACTGGAAACATTGGAAAAACACTGTCAAAAACAATGTTTTGGAAGGATTTCTTATATATATATATATATATATGTTGGAGTTGGCTACCGGCATTGGAACATGGAAAAATTGAAGAAAACACTGTAAATAGCGGTATTTTCAACGGTTGGGGAGATAAGGGAAAAGTGAAAATTCCCTAGCTTGGGGAGCCCCCACGGGGGGGGAAAGTGAAAATTCCCTAGCTTGGGGAGCCCCCACGGGGGGGAAAATGAAAAAAACATTGTACATAGCAAGATTTTGCAGGGTTTTTGGATGCCAGAGCATTGAAAGCACTGCAAAAACAAGTGTTTTGGATTGACGTTATAGCAAAAAACGTGAAAGATTACCGTATGCTTGACTGGAAACATTACAAAAACACTGTCAAAAGCAATGTTGTGGAAGGATTTACTGCCTTTATGGCAAAAAACGTGTAAATTACCGTCTGTTTGACTGGAAACATTGGAAAAACACTGTCAAAAACAATGTTTTGGAAGGATTTCTTATATATATATATGTTGGAGTTGGCTACCGGCATTGGAACATGGAAAAATTGAAGAAAACCCTGTAAATAGCGGTATTTTCAATGGTTGGGGAGATAAGGGAAAAGTGAAAATTCCCTAGCTTGGGGGGCCCCACAGGGGGGAAAAGTGAAAATTCCCTAGCTTGGGGAGCCCCCACGGGGGGGGAAAGTGAAAATTCCCTAGCTTGGGAAGCCCCCACGGGGGGGAAAAGTGAAAATTCCCTAGCTTGGGGAGCCCCCACGGGGGGGAAAGTGAAAATTCTTAGCCAAAAATTGAAAAAACATTGTACATAGCAAGATTTTGCAGGGTTTTGGGATGCCAGAGCATTGAAAACACTGCAAAAACAAGTGTTTTGGACTGACGTTATAGCAAAAAACGTGTAAAATTACCGTATGCTTGACTGGAAACATTACAGAAACACTGTCAAAAGCAATGTTTTGGAAGGATTTACTGCTTATAAACTATAATTCTGGTCACCCAAAACTAAATTCTGGCCACCAAAACTAGATTCTAGCCACCCAAAACTAAATTCTGGCAAACATTTTGTATGTATTTGAATTTTGGCTTGGGTTGATTGAAAACCAACCTTTGGCTGAGTGAAAACCAAGTTTAGGGTGGTAAAATACAAGAAACATGATGCAACATATGTCTTATAACAACTCTTTTTTTTCCTGCATTTCAATTTTTGGCTGAACCATATGTTGTCTTTGCCCATCAACCTATGAATCTACCATACTCGAAGGGCAGACACTTGGTTGCCGCAGAAGTTCCACTGGAACAACTTCAGAGGTGGTTATGGACATCCCTACTACTACTACTATACAAATGATTGGGCATGATTATCTGATTGGGCCAACTGCTGGCCAGCATGATCTTCCTATTTTACCATCTATGACCATTCACCCTTCATCTTTATGGTGGTTCATTTATCACTCAACTGGACCAGCAACTGCAGTGCCCATGGATGTCCATCCAAGAGGCAACCCTTCCTATCCCTTGTAACGCGGCCCCCTTTTTGCAGTGACACAGCCCGTTTCGGATTGGGATTCTTTGCCCGACATCTCTCAATGGCTATGCCGGCTATGCAGCTATGCTATGGATCTATGGATGCCACCATTGAGACCAGGCTGGGCGCCCATTCCACAACTCCTTAGGTGCTACTCGTTTTCTCCATTTGAGTCAGTGAAATTGACAATACCATACCATACCAACAAATTTCCGTAAGAGGAGTCGACTGGTAGTTGCGCTGACTGAGGTGGATGGGACATCAAGAAATGAAGTGACGTTCTTTGCGATGATCCAACAAGTTTTGAGCCAATGTGGAAGATCTCTGGGATTGTGTGGCTAATTATTGGCTTTGCTATCCTCTTGAAATCTGGAGCACATCACAATCTCAGCGTTCATGATTCTCGTACCCTACTGTATATGCAAAGAATCCGGGCCGGCATGGCAAGTCGTTCCCCCACTCAAGAAAAAACCCAATCCCAAATTGATGAAGGCAAGCCACGTTGGAGATGATCTGCATTTTTGAAAGGTCTGCGTGATGGCCACTACCTAGGATGGCAAAACAAAGATCAGGATTGGATATGGATCTACAATCTAGAAACTGGCAAAGGTGCAGCGGTAACTGTTGACTGAGACTTTTCTAGATTCAGTTCATTACAATACACTGGTGGGAAACACGCCATACACAGGCACGGTCCGTGTGGACTCTTTTTGCGGAAAACCCGATATGACTGGCACTGGCACCATGTTCGGTCTGCTGTGGAAAGCAATCCTCTGATCATAATCGCTTCCAAACCAGGGGACTTTGGCACCTTTGCTACCTTCACCTTTACTACTTTGGCTACAAGAACCTTTTCTGTGAACAGTCCCATTTCCAATTATGCCTCACGGAGGATCGCCGCAAACATTGTCCAGCCCAAGTTTCTATCCCACTACTCAGGCCAAGACAAGATTTTGCCGTGCTATCTCGTCATTTCCCCTGTGTAGGACACGGCACAGTACTCCTTGCCGTATCCGCAGCCAACTCCATCCAACCAGTTCAGATTTTGGCTCTGCCAGTAGTCCACGACCAAGACCATGCCATCCGCCAAGTTTTCTGGGATGGCAACACAATTCCGCAGATTGGCGATCTGTTTCGTGTGGTTTCTTAAAAGTGTCTGAGAATGAGCAATATCACCAAAAGACTCACCTGCTTCTAAATTGGGTTTGACCGTAGCAAGAACAAGAACAAGAACCTCTGGTGCTAAAAAATGACATATGCATGCGTTAAAGTCAGGGCTGGCCCCGCTTTGTGGGAAAGCCGTGTTCTTGTCAAACTTTCCCAGCCAAGAACGCCAAAATGTGCCAAGATTCTCCATTGTGAGTTGACTGGGCTGCCTACTCCACCAAATTGCTTCATGACAGTTTTGCCCTTGGAGGCCGGCGCAGCACTGACTCTTTCCACACTTCGAAAATCTCATGCTTGACACAGTTTCTCGCAAATATCACGATGACAGAATGTGAGATATGAACCCCCCTGTCAATTAAGGGGTGGGGCTGTGCAACCATTTTGTAGTGAAGAAACGGCTTGCATAGCCTCAAGCTCTACTAAATGGATGCGCATGCATGATCGAATTTCACTACTAAATGTGGGCCCCTGGTTCAGCTGAAGCGCAAAATTTGGATATATTTTCAGAGTGTCTTAAGACACCAACATGACTCGACCAAACACCCTGTTCCATTTAGTAGCGGTACTCATTTGAGCACAAGTTGCGGGACCAACATCACTCGACCAAAACCCCAAAGCCATTTAGTAGAGAAATATACGGGGTCCATTTAGTAGAGAAAACAAACTGAAACACATATGACTGATCCCATGACCATCCATTAGTAGAGGCAGCACTTGGCTAAGCAGGGGAAATCTGGATAGATTTTGGACATTTTGGGACTACAAAATGGTGTTCCATAGCACGTACGGGATAATAGGGCACACAAGGATGCAACAGGGCTTTGTGTGAAACAGTTCTAGATAGACTTATCCCATGACCATCCATTTAGTAAGCACCCGACGAGCAAGAAACACCCAAGCGAGGGATTTGGCATCGCCCCCAAGAACCCAAACACGAAAGGCAGCACCCGACGAGCAAGAAACACCCAAGCGAGGGATTTGGCATCGCCCCCAAAAAAGGCAAGGTAGCACGATGGGTTGGCCAAACGGTTATCGGTGGCAACGGAATGGGAATCTTACTAAATGGTTTTTCAGTTTTGTCTCATTTCATTGTGACCGTTTTATGAACTCTACTTCGCAACCTCTACAAAATGGTTCCTGTGATTTTGCAACATTTTTTTGACATCTCTACTAAATGGTTTTACCCAAAAACAACATTTGACATCATACGATTAACATATCATTTTTACCTCTCTGCTAAATGTGGATCATGGGTCTAGAGATGTTTACTTGATTTTTTTTGAAAAATCATGATTCTCTACTAAATGGTTTCTAGAAATTTCACACTAAATTTTTGGTTCACTTTCCGGGACCTAGGTCATAGCATTTAGTAGTGGAAACTGGCAGGAGGATAGATATGAGTCATACGAGCACATACCTTCCCAATCTCACTCTCTGATTTCCCTGGCCTAGTGTTGGCCAGGAATGGAGCATTCATACAACGTTATCCAGTCTTCCCTTGATGGGTGCCGAGTGGCATTCTGCCAAAGGCGCGCATAGACCATCAGGTGGTTGTCTGGGTCGTTGTTACCAGCAATGTTCTGGCCCAGGTGAAGAAAACATAAGAAAACCACACAATTCTTGTCTGAAGTTGTTTTATGATGTTTTATGTTGACACTTGAACAAGCATGAAAAGATATGAAAAGCCAAGGAAAATAAAACAACCTTGGTTTGTGCTTTCATTTCAGGGCATCAGGTTCCTCCTCGCTTCTACTAATTTGCAAGTTGGCTGCAAGCTAGTTAGTCTGGAGACTCTTATGATCGACACTTTAAGCTGTCGATTCGTTCCAGTCATTGCTGCTGCAACTGCCCCAGCTCATCTCAGGAACCATCTCCCATGCCAAAGAGATCCAAAGAGTATGCCTTTTTGTGCTCCACTCCCTGTCCCAAGATTGTCCCAAACCCCTTGGACTTGAAGTGCAAAGGTGAAGGGCTTGGTAGTGTCAATGGTGTGCCAACCTCAGAGCACGATGGAAAACATGCTGGCCTCGTCTTGTCGGATCCTTTCATCTCGGGATGCCCCCTTCAGGGCTTCAGGGCATCCTTCCATCTTACTGTTCCTTGCGATTCCCTGTAGGATTCCTTGGGTGTCCGTATTTATCACCAGCTGATGTCAGTTTCCTTCAATCAACAATCTGCTCAGTGCCTTCCAGGCCCATACCCTGGCGGTCCAAATCTGACCATGGGATGTCCTCAGCACAAACAACTTCCCAATCGCCACGTCATCCATTGCCTTTGTATCCTCCCGCAATACTGAATGACTTACAGCTTTTGTTCAGCATATGCCCCTGCGCACTTTGCGTACAAACTAGTAACTAGTACAAACAAGAGCAGCCGCCTTGCCGAAAAAGAATGTCTGAACACATGAATGCTATCCGAAATGGAAACTGTCGCACTTAGAGTCTGGCTATGCGATTCTACGCTTTACTGTATCAGGAGAAGTGCGTGTAACCTTCGCATCCTGACGAAGTAGGTTTTTATGCAAAATCCTTCGGTACAGACTGATAAATCTAATAACATGTAACACACTGGTCCCGTTAGGCAAATGGTGGAACCGGTATGGATTCCTGACGCCAACCAAATGTGTCAACTGCAATCCGAGCACCATCGCCGTCGCAACTGCCCCTGCTCGGATTTCGGCAACACACACTATGCTATACCTTGGAAGCGCTTTGGCCGCCCTGACTCCTGCTGGCGCAAAGACTGCAGAATTCTTTGGCCCGTGACAAACGAAACGTTCTGACTGTCAAGATCTTTCGCGCGACTGCAGGTGGGAAAGCAGTCAAAGTCAAATCTGCTTGTTGGCACCTTGGGCATGTCAAGCCAGCAAATGTAGCAAAACGCATTGCATGGTCCCGCTCAAAGAGACACCTATAGCAGATTGGCAGCTTTCCGTCAGGAGACACAAAATCAATCCCCGGGGCTGTCACAGCACACAAACTGCATGTCAACAAAGGTTTCTGTGCGCATGCAAGGAAACTGGGTCTTTGACGAGACCATGAAAACTTTGGATTCGAAAAGATTTCCTTTGCTACAGCTGGCTGAAATGCATGTAATGTCAGATCTGGTGTTTGGCAAGTATGACAACACAGATTGGTAAATTTTGTCCACACTGCCGGTTTCTTCTGTTGCAAGAAACATCGCCAACAGTGGGGCTGGCCAGTGGGTTGGCCAGTCGAAATGTCCCAAGCTAGGGCATCGGCCGAGTCACTATGCCCACACGTGACACAAACGAGCTTTGTATCATGGCAGCTTGCACAAACCCATGTGCGCTCACACTGAAGACCTCTTCCCGTGTCTGGATTTGGTTTTCTCTGTCGGCACACAACGCATTTCGGAAAAGTGCAGTCGGTGCAATACGCATGGACGTTCCATGTGTTATCTGCTTGGAATTGTTTGTGCTTCTCACGAACCCATGAGAAAACCACTTCCCTTACCAGCGCAGGCGGGAAAGCTCGCAAAGTCAAGTTGCTTCTTGCACAACGTCGACATCTCAGATCCTGGTTGTTCGGTGTCTGCATGACTTGTGGGTTTTTCCGCTTACACGCCTGGGGTTAACACAACGAAATAAAATCAAAAACTATTCACCGACACAAAACCAAACAATCCAGGACAGGCCTTCTTGGCGCGAAAGCTCTCTGGGTGACGTTCTTCTGCCAAGCAGATCCAACACAAGCAACGCAAAGATGTAGCCAATCCTCGTAATTCTTCTGTGGCAAAACAATTTTCTGGCCAAACTTCTTTGCACCGTGTGCAAGCAACACTTTCACCGGGTGCCCGGCTAACTTGCGTCCCATGTTCAGACTCATGCCGGTAGCAAAGCATTACCCCAGTTTCCCCTGCATCCCAACGCCTCTGCGTTTCTGTGGAAAAGGCACCGCGGCGACACAAATCTTGACACTGTTCACACATCAAGAAACGAGTTCCTCGCTGGTTGGTTTTCGTCCGCTGACATTTGT